CAGAAGGGCACTGTGCATGTCCCTGGATTTTTCTCGGAGATGTTGAGTCTGAAACAATGGTGCGGTGCTGCCAGCAGCAGTTTAAGCAGGTCACTGAAACCAAGTGGTGGAATAAGACCCATGCCCAGGTAAAGGCCACTGGCAGAAGAGCTTGTTTCTAGGCTGCAGGCTTTGTCAGCCTTGCTTTTAGGACCAGGACCTCCTTCCTCCTGGACTCCATCGCAGGGTCAGCTGATCTTCCTCTGCAGAGCAGAGGAGTTTGTATGTGAAGTTGCCTGGTGACAGCTCCAAGGGAGCTGTTGATGTTGGGATAGCAGTTGGGGAACATCAGCACCTACTTAGTGATGCATTTAACAGCTGATAGCGCTTGAAGTGTTGTCTCCAAAGCTTGATGCTCTTGGTATTTTTGATTGCCTGAGGTCTTTTCAACTGTGAAGGTTAGAAATCTGTTGCTGTAAACATCAAAGTTGGGTTTCTGTTGTAGTAAGAGTTGTGCTGAGGGCAGAGGCCCTTAGTGCCTCTGCTGCTTCTGACCCTGGTGACAGTGGGTGGCTTTTTGGTGACTGCCAAGCAGGGGAATGACATACGGTGAAAGTGTGTTAAGGTACCTGTAAGCAGGCAGTGACTTCCCAGCAGCCAAATGTTTGTCCATAGCCAAGGTAAACTAATGTTCCCAGTAGTGACTCTTTCAGGTAGTATTTCCTAGGAGATTGTTTAGAGTTGTCATACCTGGGCTTATTCCCAGCTCTACAAAGCCCTGTTGAGAGACTTTTGTTGCTGATGACCACCCCACCCAGTCCCCTAATTGTTGTCCACCTGGAGCAGGATTGAGTTTGGTGGGGTTTGTAGGAGCTCAGCTCTTCTGAAAATCAGTTTGCAAATTTGTCCCCTTTCCTGTCTGAGGAGTGAGCATGTTTAACCACTGTGGTGTGGGAGGGTAATCCCAAATTCATGATTTGTGAATGGCTTTGTAGTTCATGGTGTATTGCATTTGATGGCCTAAGTTTACTCCCAGTACTCAGGTGCTGTAGAGGCCATGCTGTGTCTGCTTTGGGGGCAGGAGTAGGTTACCTTTGTGTGTTGCATAGCAGTAATGGGGGGGGGGGGACACATGACAAAAAAAAGCCCACAAAAGGGGGGAAAAAAAAACAACCCACCTAGCAGGATGTCCTGTTAATATATTTTGGTTTAGAGAGCAGGGCAAGTCCACCAGCTTTCTAGGTTTCAGTGTAATAGAGTAGGTTTCAGTAATAGAGGTAGGTATTCAGCATATTAATCCTAATATGTTTCAGCAGCTGCTTGCACAGTCTTCATTAGGAGCTTGGGAGAGTGGTTGTCATCACTTCAGCATCCTCCTACCCCTCTTTTGAAGACTCTTGCTGCAGCCAGAGAAGTATGGGCACAATTTCTGTGGAGGTGCTGGAGAACACAGGGGACGGCTTGTGATAGTATTTCAGGCAGCTCTGTCTCAACTGCCTGTTTTTTGTTGTAAGATTTAAGAAAAAAAATCTCTTCAAGTTTAGTATAATCTTTCTTTTCTTGACAGTTCTCAGAGGTGGCTGCTGGAGACTACAGAGTCAGCAGGCACAGGCTGTGCTTGAGGGTCTCGGCTCATCTCCTTGGGAAAGGAGATGATAGGATCTGCTACACAGGTGGGAGACTACATTGGTCCAGAACCTAGTTTAGGGCTTAGCGTGTCATCCAGTCCTGAGCTTGAGGCTGTGGAGCTGCTGTTTGCTGGCCATCGTGGTAAACCCAGGTTAAGGAATCCTGCCATCCCCTGCCACTTGCTCATTATTTGCAAGACGGCTCCACAGAGTTGTGCTAGGAGGGTGACGGATTGCAGTACAGAGATGGGAACAGGAACTGGGAAGGAAATCTTTACCTGGTTTTGCTACCAGGGCTAGTACATTGTAAAACTGCAGTCTGAGCTGGAAATCCTGCAGCATCTCTTCACTAATGTTGACCTGGAATTTATCTGGCTGCCTGCCATGTGCTAAATAAACCCCAAGTCATGTTGGAGGCTCCTTCTACCCCTTTGAATCCTAGCCCCTTTCTGGGATAGCAACCCGCAGGCCAGATTTTCTTCTGTGGAGGTTTTTAAACGACCACTTTGGAGCCCCTTGAAACTAGATACTAGTGGGAATTCCTGCAAGGCCTCTCCAGCCTTGCTGGCTGCGACATCCTGGAGTGAAAACATGGCTTGGATTGAGGATTGGTCAGTTGGTAAATTAGTACAAACCCAGCTAGTACAATTGCTTGAATTTCCTAACGAGCAGCAAAGAGGTCTGGGTAGGTAAGAAATGTTGCATAAAGTGGGATCAGAGGTCTGCACCTCTGCCATCTGCTGTGTGGTGGTGATTTGTAAGGAAGTCCGAGTTGTGTGGTGTGGTCTGGCTTCAGACTTGTTCTTGTACCTTCACCTTCCTGCCTTTTCTTTTTTAGGATTCTCAAATTCTGTGTTCAAGAGATGCCTTTTTACCACTTGCATCTTTGTAGTGTCCTGGCACTGAAGATGCTGTCCTCATAATTGGGACTTGGCTCGTATTGCTGTGGCAGAATCAGGAGTTGTCTTTCAGCTGGAAAAGTACCGAGTTTTATTTTTTTTCTTGAAAGAGATTGCATTTTAAAAACACCATTCTGACGGTGTCTTAACTGTTGTTTGCCTTCTTAAAAAACTTAATCATGTTCAAACCTAGTGGGAAGGAGTCAGATGCTTACGCAGAATCTTCCAGGTGCTGTTGGCAGAGGGGAACTGCCTGGTTTGTTGTATGTAT